CCAGGCCTAGGAGTGAGTTCCTGTTGTGCTGATGGTAAATTCTGTGGGGTTTTGCTCAATGGTCTAAATTAGGCTGTGGATTAAGTGTGGGTGAGTTTAAGTGCAGTTCAAACCTTTAGTCCATTAGACCCCTGATTAAGCCAGGCCTAGGAGTGAGTTCCTGTTGTGCTGATGGTAAATTTGATGGGATTTTGTTCAATGGTCTAAATTAGGCTGTGGATTAAGTACTGGTGAGTTTAAGTGCTGTAGTTAAACCAGGCCTAGGAGTGAGTTCCTGTTGTGCTGATGGTAAATTTGATGGGGTTTTGTTCAATGGTCTAAATTAGGCTGTGGTTTAAATGTTGGTAAATTTAAGTGCTGCTCAAATCTTTAGTCCATTAGACCCATGGGCCTAAGGCCAGGGTGAGCCATGGGCCTAAGCCAGGCCTAGGAGTGAGTTCCTGTTGTGCTGATGGTAAATTCTGTGGGGTTTTGCTCAATGATCTAAATTAGGCTGTAGATTAAGTGTGGGTGAGTTTAAGTGCTGTTCAAACCTTTAGTCCATTAGACCCCTGGTTGAGCCAGGCCTAGGAGAGAGTTCCTGTTGTGCTGATGGTAAATTTGATGGGATTTTGTTCAATGGTCTAAATTAGGCTGTGGATTAAGTGTGGGTGAGTTTAAGTGCTGCTCAAACCTTTAGTCCTAAGCTGGTGGTTGAGTCTAGGGCTCTGCTCTGACCCTTGGGAAATCCTCCCTTATTTTCTCCTCACCCTTCCCCGCCCTCCCCCTTTTCCATCCCCAGCCTCCCCACGGCAAATTTGGGGCTGGTTTTAGTCTCAGATTAACCAAACTCAGCTTTTAATCTGTTTTTTCTCCGTGCTTTGACCTCCTGGTGAGTTTGAACCTCCCCGGGGAGCTTCGTCACGCTTCGGCTTTTGGGCTAAATCCGGTTTTTCCGATGATTTTCCGGTGATTCCTCGATCAGCAGGACACAGCCGGCCCTCCTGGCTGCCAGGGCTGGGCCTGCCTGGAAGTTTAACTGGAGCTGGGATGGGAATTCACGGGCTTTGGCAGCCTCAGCCTCCCATAAAGCCGAGTCCAAGGTCGGGCTTAACTGATAAACCTCCCACAATTTTTGTGTGTGGGGATTTGTGGATTTGGGAGGGAGAAGGGTCTGGACTGTGGTGGGGATTTGTGGAATTAGGAGGGAGAAGGGTCTGGACTGCGGTGAGGACAAGGCCACGAGGTTTTGGAAACCCTCCAGGCCCTGGAGTGGATGCAAAACAACCTCAAACCCCAGGGAAT